CTCTCTGGGTTTTGGATGAGCGGTGCCAAAGCCCAGCTCCAAGTCTGTTCCTGCCTCGGTGGGGAGCCTGGCACTGACAATGCTCATATCCCATCTGCTGGGAGATGCGGGTCCACTCGAGACTGTCGCTTGGCAGCCAGGGGCGGCCATCTGGGGCAGGCCTGCTGGCTTGGAAGGTAGCCCAGACCTCTCGCTCTGGCCCCCATGCCCTGGTTTACAGGACCCCAAGGCATGTGTATGTGAACATGAGAAGGACAGAACCCCATCCGGGAGCTCAATCCGTGCTCCCCAGAATGGGCCTCTGACCTCCTGGGAAAGAACGTCCGCTGCAACAGTGGTACTGCTTATAATCATTTTCCGTCAAGTGTCAGGCCCAGCACTGCCTGCTTGATATGTGCAACCTCACCGAGTCCACAACACAGTTCTGCAAACCAAGAATTTCCAAGAGGGAAACTGAGGCTCCGAGAGGAAATGAGCCATGTGCCCAAGGTTCTAGAACTGCTGAGTGGCCAAACTAGGACTCATATGAGGTCTCCAACCCATGGAGCATGGCTCTGCCTCAGGACCTCTGCACTGGCTGTTCCCTCTGCCTGGAATGCTCTTCTTCCAGTTGTCCACACGGCCCCCTCTCCCCTTCTCTAGGTTTACTAGAACGTTACCTTCCCAGTGAGGCCTCTCTTGACCTTCCTGTTAAAAATCTAAGCACCTGCCACACTCATCACTCCTCCTTGCTTTGTTTCCCACCTTGTCACTATAGGTAGCACCTACAGCGTAATTTGCTAAGGTGTTTGGTGTCCTGCTGTCTCCTCCTCAAAGACCCACTCCCCCGAATATCTTTGCTGCCTTGTTTGCTATGGTACCCTCCATGCCCAGCATAGAGCTGGGACGGGGGAGCACTGAGCAAACGTCTACGGAATGGATGGATCCCAGGCCTGTGGCTGTGATACCCAAAGTGTCCCCGTGCTGTCGCCTGGGATGGACCAGAGTCCCCCACAGCTAGTTTTGTAGGTGCTGGGGGTAGGAAGTAGATGGGAGCAGGTATACACTGGGAATGGCATCAAGCCAGTTTCAAACTTAGTGAACAGGAAATCACAGCAAAAAAATTATATAACCCAGTATCCATGCACTAAAGTCTCACAACTCAGTATGTGTGGCATAGTCCGACATATATATATTTTTTAATTTTTATATTTTAAGTTCTAGGGTACATGTGTACAACGAGGTTTGTTACATAGGTATTACACGTGCCATGTTGGTTTGCTGCACCCATTAACTCATCATTTACATTAGGTATTTCTCCTAATGCTATAGTCTGGTATTTTTTATTTTTTAGAGACAAGGGTCTCACTGTGGTGCCTAGGCTGGTCTTGAACTCCGGGTTTCAAGCAATCCTCCTGTCTTAGCCTCCCGTCCCAAAATGCTGGGATTACAGGTATGAGCCACTATGCCTGCCTATATATTGTATTCTCTTTTTTTTTTTTTTTTTTGAGACGGAGTCTCACTGTCACCCAGGCTGGAATGCAGTGGCCGGATCTTAGCTCACTGCAAGCTCCGCCTCCCGGGTTTACGCCATTCTCCTGCCTCAGCCTCCCGAGTAGCTGGGACTACAGGCGCCTGCCACCATGCCCGGCTAGTTTTTCTGGTATTTTTTTAGTAGAGACGGGGTTTCACCGTGTTAGCCAGGATGGTCTCGATCTCCTGACCTCGTGATCCGCCCGTCTCGGCCTCCCAAAGTGCTGGGATTACAGGCTTGAGCCACCGCGCCCGGCCCTTATTGTATTCTTTCTTCTTTTTTTTTTTTTTTCTGAGACAGAGTCTCACTGTGTCACCCAGCCTGGAGTGCAATGGAGTGATCTTGGCTCACTGCAACTTCCACCTCTCAGGTTCAAGCGATTATCCTGCCTCAGCTTCCTGAGAAGCTGGGATTACAGGCACCTGCTACTACGCCTAGCTAATTTTTTTTGTATTTTTAGTAGAGACGGAGTTTTGCCATTTTGGTCAGTCTGGTCTCAAACTCCTGACCTTGGGTGATCCACCCACCTCAGCCTCCCAAAGTGCTGGGATTACAGACGTAAGCCTCCATGCCCGGCCTATTATATTTTCATTACGAACAAAAACACAAATGCTAGCACTGAGTTGGCTGAGCTCCTAACTCATGAGTGGGTCCAATGTGCAGTCTAAGCTGACTTAGTCAAACCCCAGAGGCAGCCGAGTGCGGTGGCCAGAACACAGGCAGGCACTCTGCCCTGCCACGCCCTGGAGGGTGCTTTGGGCAAGTCCCTTCACCTCTCTGTGCCTGTTCTGTCATCTATAAATGAGGACAAGAGTGTCTTCATCCTAGAATCGTGATGAGATTTAAGTGAGTTAATAGATATAAAAGGTATAGAATATTGCCTGACACACAGTATAAAGGAGATTTGCAGTAATAATAACCTTTGTAATAAATATTTTTATATATATATATATATATTTTTTTTTTTGAGACGGAGTCTCGCTCTGTCACCCAGGCTGGAGTGCAGTGGTGCGATCTCGGCTCACTGCAACCTTTACCTCCTGGGTTCAAGAGATTCTCATGCCTCAGCCTCCCGAGCAGCTGAGACTACAAGTGTGCGCTAACATACCCAGCTAATTTTTTGTGTTTTTAGTAGAGACAGGGTTTTACCATATTGGCCAGGCTGGTCTTGAACTCCAGGGCTCAAACGACCCACCTGCCTTGGCCTCCCAAAGTGCAGGGATTACAGGTGTGAGCCACTGTACCCAGCCTATTTATATTTATAAGTATATGACTGTAGGCGTCATTTCACCCAGCAGTTGCCCGTATGTCCTAAAACAGTCGGATGCAGTGTGAGCTGTCACCTCTCATTCTGCTCTGGTGCTCATCTGGCCAGAAAGGTGGGTAGAGGGAGGAGGGGCTGAGGAGACAGAGGCTGGTGACCACCTGTGGTTTGGCACACATGGTTTTGCGGCTGCCTCTTCCTGGCTGCTGCAAAGCCTCCGTGCCATCCCATTTCCCCAACACAGTGGGAAGGTCTTGGTCAGGGGATGGGGCGAGGGCACTCCGAGCTGCATCTGCCAGCCTGGATGAGGTCCAGGACTTGGCTGGCCCCACAAAAGTCCTTGGCAGCCTCAGCCTGCTAGGTTTCCATGTCTGGGCAAAGGCCAGGCCCAAGGGGCTGGGGCAATGCACGCTGAGGGAGACCCATTTTGGAGGGCCTGCCTAGCTGGTGACTGCCCCTTTTCTGAAAGGTCTTCCTTATTTGGGTCTTCTGGACCTCTCTGTCATTTCTGCTTGCCTGAGTCCCCTCTTTTTGCTGAGGATCTGCCCTGCCTCCTTCTCCAGGGAGCTCTGGTGGAACTGTCAATCACAGTGCCTGGACCTGCCCCTGGACCCAGGGTGGGGGGTAACATGTGCTAGACCTGGCCAGTTTCCTCTACCACCCCGATCACAGTGACTGGCCCAGGGATTGCATTTGTGATCTAAGCAGAGCCAGAGTTCTTCCCAGATAAATCTGTCTAAGTCTTTTTTTTTTTTTGAGATGGAGTTTTGTGTTTGTTGCCTAGGCTGGAGTACAATGGTGCAATCTCAGCTCACTGCAACCTCCGCCTCCTGGGTTCAAGCAATTCTCCTGCCTCAGTCTCCTGAGTAGCTGGGATGACAGGCGCCTGCCACCACACCCAGCTAATTTTTGTATTTTCGGTAGAGACGGGGTTTCACCATGTTGGGCAGGCTGGTCTCAAACTCCTGACCTCAGGTGATCCGCCTGCCTCGGCCTCCCAAAGTGCTGGGATTACAGGCATGAACTACTACTGTGTCTGGCCAGTCTGAGCCTTTGGGATGAGAAGGCGTAAAGATGTAGGTTTGAGCAGCCCATCTCCATGTTCCCATGACACGGTGAGAGCTTGTTAGTGGCAGAAGAAAATGACATTCATGATGCAAACAGCAAAGCCAAGCAGAGACCTAAAGAAGCAGAGTTCTGGTGACTGCATTTGAGTCTCTAAGTCCAGCTATGCCCGAAGCTTGCCCTACCTCTGGATTTGCAGTTACACGAACCATGAATGCTATTTCTGACTTAAGAAAGTTAGAAGTAGACTTCTGTCACTTACAATTTGAGTTCTAATAGAGCATGGGTGCCCCAGCAGGACTTCCCCACTAGCTACAGCTGACATTTAATCCAGGGGAAGGCCTCCAGCCAGGATCATGGGCTTCTCCACTCAGAATGGAAAGTGACACATTGGGAGTACCTTGAGCTGATTGGCCCAACAGCAGCGCCTGTGGTTGACAGTCCCCAATTCCTGTCCTGCCTGAAGCTTGTTGCCTTAATTCTTTCCATTATGTAGGACACCTCATGATCCTAAAATGATCCCTTACCTTCCCTTTTATTTCTTATGCTTATTAGAGTTAATCTCTCGCAAACAGGTTTTGTAATGTTGGGCTCTGAAGTCAGACACCCTGGACTGAAATCTTGGTCTGGCCACTGATTCATTGATCCTATAGAAATCATTTATCTTTCTCTCTCTTTTTTTTTTTTTTTTTGAGACAGAGTCTCACTCTGTTGCCCAGGCTGGAGTGCAGTGGCATAATTTCAGCTCAGTGCAGCCTCTGCCTCCCAGTTTCAAGCAATTCACCTGGCTCAGCGTCCCCAATAGCTGGGATTATAGGCGCGTGCCACCACGCCTGGCTAATTTGTATTTTTGGTAGAGATGGAGTTTCGCCATGTTGGTCAGGCTGGTCTTGAACTCCTGACCTCATCTGAGCCACCCACCTCGCTTCCCAAAGTGCTGGGATTACAGGTGTGAGCCACTGTGCCCAGCCGGAAGTCATTGAAATTCTGAGTCTTAGTTTCCTCCTCTACGAGATGGAGAGACTAACAGGATTGCTCTCCTGGGGTGGTTGGAAAGATTCCATGAGATGAAGCCAGGGAAGTGTTTGCCCCTAGAACCTAGCTTGAGATGCGAGTGGCTATGATTTCTTTAATAAGAACGAGAGTGATGGGACCTACCTCGCGGGTCCGGAAGATGATCCTGTACTGGTACTGAGGTCCATGCTCCTTGTGGTCTTCCAGCTTCTCCCGCTTAATGCTCACAGCCACTGGCCCCAGTTTCTCATCCACGCCGAAGTAATTGGCATGTTCTAAGAAGGAAGAGCAGGCGAGTTCAGGCTCAGCTGTCTGGGAAGGAGGGGCCCTGATGCCCAGCAGGCCTGCAGATAGGGTGATCAGGCAGGGTCCTGTGCAATCTGTGGGATGCTGGTCACGCAAACCTCATGCCTTGGTCACACACACCCCCAGTGGAGAAACTGTAAGAGGCAAAAGCCCACCTTACTGTACTACCTCTGCCAAGCCACAGAACTTTTCTGAGCCTCAGGGCTCTTGTCTGAGAAAACAGGGCCTTGATGCCACCCACAATTCAGAGAGCTGATGTGAAGGCAAAATGAAGCTACAGATATGAAACGCTTACTACGGTGCATGGCATGTCATCAACCCAGCACCACTGTGATTCATCCCGTGCTTGCAAATTGTTCACTTGGTTTAACTGCTGATTAGCCCTTGTGAAGTTGTTAAGTAAGATTCTAGTCTAGAGAGCCTCCTGACATCTGGGCTCTGCCCCTTAAGAGATGTCTGGCCCCAGCCAAGTTGCTAGACAGCATTTTCAGCCATAAAATAAAGTTAAAGGTGGACCCAGCCTTGAGCACTGTGCCAGGCACACAGCACGCACATGATGAGTGTTGGCAATGACCAGCCCCAGTCGTTGGCGCCTGTCAGGGACCACGATAGGGGTCCCCAGGCATCGCCTTTATCTCACCATGTTTCTTTACCTAGGTAACTTCAACACTGCTCTTTTTTCCCTTAGGGTAACAGAGGCTTTAGCCAGCCATGGGGCACGCCTCCTGCTCCCTCCTCTACCCGACAGCTGCCTCCTCTTTTTTTCTAAAACATGCTGCTATCTTATAACCCTTCCAGGCAAACAGTTCTTCCCGATGTATAACCCAAGTATCTCATGCTTGTGTGGGTATCCACCAGCGGTCTGTCTTGACCCAAGTCCACGAAGTTAACATCACCCACCACGCGAAATTGTACTGGTATGCTGAATGTTTAACGGACGGTTCTTGTTCTCATGAAATGCTCTTGGCAAATCGAAGGCTAATCTAAAGGCAAAATATTGTGTGTTAATTAACGGCCCCAATCAGGATAGCATCTGCAGGGGGTTCAACAATCTCCAGCTGATCAGAGAATGGAATAAACATTGTACTCTACAGATCTACAGATCGCAGATACCAGCTTATTCCTGAAGCAGCTACAGGGGTTGTTGCTTTTCCCATCAATGCATATCTAGCTCCTTGCAAATCCTAGCATATAGTAGACACTCAATAAACACTGACCAATGATTAATTTATTTACTAGTTTTGACAAAGACTCTTTGCTTGGCCAAACTTTAGTCAGGCTTTGGAATATTCTCCTAGGCCCATCTGTGCACCTCCTTGTAAAATCCAGTTTTAACAAAGAACCCTGCTAAGTCAGTTTAGCAAGAACCCTGCCCCCCAACCTTATCCTAATATCTGGACATCCTCAACATCTGATCAAGCTCTTCATCCTCCACCATCCAAAGGTGATGTCGGATCATCCTGGTGTGTCATCAGCGAGATTAGGTTGGTTTAGCCAGAATCTTCCTTACCTCTGACATTTCTTCTTAGTAATTTCTTCTATCCACTGACCCCTACCCTGACTCTTGGCTATAAATCCCCACTTGACCACGCTGTATTCAGAGCTAAGCCCAATCTCTCTTCCCTACTGCCAGACCCCGCCGCAGTGGTCCCTACGCCTACTCTGATGGCTCTGAATAAATTCTTCACTGTGCTTTAACAAATATCATTGAACAGTTTTTCTTTTTTGAGACAGGGTCTTGCTCTGTCACTCAGGCTGGAGTGCAGTGGTGCAATCATGGCTCACTGCAACCTCTGCCTCCAGGGCTGAAGCGATCCTCCCAGCTCAGCCTCCGCAGCAGTTGGGACTACAGACACGTGCCACCACACCTGGCTAAATTTTTAACCTTTTTTTGAGGTTTCACTATGTTGCCCAGGCTGGTCTCTTTAACTCCTGGGGGCAAGTGATCATCCCGCCTCAGCCTCCAAAAGTGCTGGAATTACAGGCGTTCAGGGAGCCCTTGTGCTTGGCCAGGACATTTTTTTCTTGAACGGCTTTCAGTGCTACAAAGAAATTTTTAAAAATAAAATGACTCTTTTTTTTTTCTTTTAAAGCTGCATGATGAGTACTTCCTACCTGCCTAACAAAGAACTAAGTATTTTAATGTATAATCTTACTAGATCTTTATTTGATCCACATTCCTTTCATGTAAGTATTTGTATGTGTAGGTTGAAAAGAATGTGTTCTTTGTTGATTAGGTACAAAGTTAATATATATACAGTGTAAAATCAAGTTTTCATTAGGTTATTCAAATCCTCTAAATCCTTATTTTTCAGTTACTAGATTCTGTCAATTTCAGAGAGATAATCTGTGCACTTCTCCCGCTATGGTTGTGAATTTTTCCACTTCTCCCCGTAGCGTTTTTGTTTGTTTGTTTGTTTTTTTGTTTTGGTTGGGGGGACAGAGTCTCACTCTGTCGCCCAGGCTGGATTGCAGTGGTGTGATCTTGGCTCACTGAAACCTCTGCCTCCCAGCTTCAAGAGATTCTCCTGCCTCAGCCTCTCAAGTTGCTGGGATAACAGGCACCTGCCACCACACCCAGCTAATTTTTGTATTTTTTAGTGGAGACAGGGTCTCACCATGCTGGCCAGGCTGGTCTTGAACTCCTGACTTCATGTAATCTGCCCACCTCAGGCCTCCCAAAGTGTTGGGATTACAGGCGTGAGCGAATGCGCTCAGCCAGCCTGATCCATTTTTAAAATCCATATACCCCTAAACCAAGTTGCCAGGTATACAAAGGTTCACAACTACCAGAATTTCTTGGTGAATTTTAAGAAACATGAAATGGCCTTCTTAATTCCTCTAAAAAGTGCTTTCAGCCTTTATTTAAATCTATTTCATGTGATACTGATATTGCCTCATTGGCTATTTCCTTGTAAGCAACTGTCTGGAACTTCTTTTTTTTTTTTTTTTTTGGAGACGGAGTCTTGCTCTGTCGCCCAGGCTGGAGTGTAGTGGCACAATCTTGGCTCACTACAAGCTCCGCCTCCTGGGTTCAAGCCATTCTCCTGCCTCAGCCTCCCGAGTAGCTGGGACTACAGGCGCCTGCCACCAAGCCCGGCTAAGTTTTTGTATTTTTAGTAGAGATGGGGTTTCACTGTGTTAGCCAGGATGGTCTCGATCTCCTGATCTTGTGATCCGCCCGCCTCGGCCTCCCAAAGTGCTGGGATTACAATCGTGAGCCACCGTGTCTGGCTTGGAACTTCTTTTTGATCCCTTTCTTTTCAATCTCTGTGTCATTTTGTTTGTGCATGTGATATTGATATAATTATCTTCATTTGTCATGCAGTCTGAAGGGTAAAACGTATCACATGGATCAGCTATGGAATAGATACCCTAAACTGAGGGCTTTCTGACTTCAAATTGGAACTCCAGAGACTCCAAGTTGGAGCTCCAGTGTCTCATGGGACAACTTAATTGACATTTGTTATGTTTGACAAGGACATTACTTTAAATATATTTATTTATTTATTTATTTATTTATTT